GAGGTGCCAGGGCGGTGAACCCCTTTCCCGCAGGCGCAGGAGAGTTTATTTTGTTCGGCGGTTTGTTTACTGCTCCATCAGTTTGGCATCAGAAGGAGAAACTCTATCAACCTGCAGAAATATTGATTTTATCGACTCCAATCCTGGAGTTTCAACAGCTCCAGCTGGTGCTGGAGGCTTTATTGGGAGGTTTATTGGGAGGTTTGTTTCAGTACGCGAGAGGGCAAATGGTGGCACCAGTTGGGGAGGAGATCCAGGGCGGCAGAGAGGTGGGACACCGGAAAAGCAACCTATGGCATGGAGACCGCGGATGCCTGCCCCTCACCAGGACCAGCTTTCCCCAGATTTTCCAGGGAGATCCGCACCCCCTTGGCAGAATTTTAGCAATCGGCTAGGACAGCTCCCAGGACGGGATTGGCAGAGCGCTGCAGGCTGCTGGAGGAGCAGGGACTCCATCTCTTCAAGCCAGACGGTTTAGGATCTATTTGTGTATCCAGAACCACAAACACGCAATTGGTGGGATTTCCAAAAAACCTCAGCAGAACCTGCTGTGCTCCTACAGTTTTTCATGAGCTTTTGCTCTCTCCCCATCAGCATCCACCCTCTTTCTTTGTTCCCCTGAGCTACTCCATTATTTTCCCCCTGTCTCCATCCTCCCCAGGAACGATGCTGAGCCAGGGAGGACGCTGAGCCAGCCAGGCTGATCCCCACGGACTGAGAAACACACTGTGAAGTCCCCAGAGCAGCAGGAACGGGGGTTGCCATACCCTAACTCCTCTTCAAACCACCCAAAGCCAAAACAACGCCCTTGTTCAGAGCTGCGACATCCCGCGTGCTTCTGAGATGAGCGGAATTACCCGCTCAGCATCACTCAGGCTAAGCCAGGATTCAACCTGATCTTAAAGTCAAAGTCAACCAAATAACCAAGTGATTTGTCAAAGTAACCGCACCTGAAGCCAGATGCAATTTCCACAGGTCCTGCACACGCCTCCGCACAGCGTTCAGCTGCTGCGGGAGGACAAATGGATCAGGATCTACGGATCGCTGTGCCAAGCAGCCTATTTCCGCAGCCACCAACCCGCACCCTTCCCATGGTAAAACCAGTGGCACACGCGGTCCTTCCTTTTCCTTCAGGTTCATAACCCACACATCGGGTCAGATAATTCATGGCAAATTGTGAGCTGTTATAGCAAAAGGAAGGATTGCTGCTCACTCGGTTTTAGCAAGAGTAAGTCCTGGTGCTCGGCTCTGGAGGTCCCATGTTGTATTTCTAGTATGTCGTCAAACAAAATACTGGTAAGGGAGGGAACACCTCCGCCGTTGCAGAGCGAAGATGCAGAAACCAGGAAATGCAACACCGTGGCTCTAGCAAGAGGCTCAGAAAACATGTTATACATGCGACACGTGCAGCTACGTGGAAGAGTGAGGGGAGACCGGAGGCTATGAGAACGCAGCAGCACCCATGGCACCACTCTGCATCCTCCCCTGCTCCCCACTTCCACAAAATCCCATCAAAGACCGCGCTGTCATGGCTAACTTCAGGTGACACAGAGTCTCCATGCTGGTTTCTGCTTGGGGAGGATGAACCTGAACCTCTCTCTGAGCCAGCGGGACACACTCTCAGACACTGCAGGCACGTCTCACCAGCAGCCTCCCTCCTGCTGTGCCCTCATCGCCGTGGAGGCGGCTGGAAGAGGTGCCAGGCAGCGCAGACCGAGGCGCCATGCAGAGCCACACGCAGCACGGCAACGGGCTGCCGCGGGGGTGG